TGGAGGAAATCAGGGACCTGGGAGGAGGGAAAACCTGCAGTGCAATGCATGAGAAAAGGCACGTACGTACGATACGGATCGGAACATACAGCAGCAACAGGGAAAAGCTGGAGCGGCCCAGATTCCGTCCCGTCCCCGTCCCCGGTCAATCCATCACATCAGTCAGCACGGCCAGCGCAGATTCCCCAGTTTCAATTGAAGAGTCAATCCATCGTGGCGCCCGGAGAACCGTGATTTGCTGGCATGCTCACCACCACTCATCTGATCTGCGAGACATTCAGTGGCATGGGCACCGGACGGCAGAACACTCACGTATGTCGACCTGGCATGATGCTAGATGGCATGGCATGGCATGGCCCATGGAAACAGAACAGAACACAACAGCCGTATGTACGGTAAATACGGCTCGGATACAGCACATCGCAGCACACGCACACACCTACGATATGTACCCTGCATCCGGACAGCCAGCAGCACCGCGGCCGCGCTGCCTGCGTCGTGGCATGTCATTCACTTCACACACACAGTCTGTCATGCTCATGGATGCCCAGCGGGCAGGCTGGGCAAAGAGAAGGTGAGAGAAACCTGTTGACCGTCGGTAACAAAGTCTGTCTCGTCTCGGTCTCTGGTTCGAAATATGACAGAAAATCGTGAATGGTCACGAGCCCGGCCCCGGATCCCTTCCTCGATTGCTTAAACGGGCACCTTGCAGCACGCAAATACAGCCCTGATGGACCATGTACCTCAATTAAGGCCAAATCGACATGGTCCCCGCAAGGTATTAGTCTGAGTCTGTCTAGTCGCCGCCCGCCGCCGCCGCTCCGCCCGCCGTGCGCCGCCTGCTACTGCTGCTGCAATGCTGGCTGCTGCGTCTTGCTGCCGCTGCCGTTGCCGTCCCCGTTGCTCGCTTTCTTTCCCCATGCTTGCAATGCTGCTTCTGCTGCTGCTTTCCTATTTGCTGGGCTGGCGGTCACAGTTCTCTCACGTTCCGTGAGGTCATGAACAGACGCCGGTCGGCCGTCGTGGATCATCCACACACACCAAAAAAGAGCACCCCCATCAACCCATCCCCATCTCCTCCGTCCCGGCAATGCACATGCTGCCACCATGGAACGCTGGAGTCTGCGTGATTCTCTCCCCGGCCGGGCCCCTCCCCTCCATCTCATCTCGTCTCGTCACCTCACCTCAGCCAGCCATCCAGCAGCCTGCCTTTCTTCCCTCCCACCACCCCTTCCAACCAGACCAGACCCTTCCCACCCCTTCCCAGTTCATGCTCCGTACTCCGTTAATTGCTCCATAACAAAGGCCCCATCAAACAAGTCTTTTGTTGGTCTCGCCCCCCCAAGGGCCGGCCGGCAGAAAAAGGGCCAGAGGGGCCGTCCGTCCCAGCCGCCGTATCTGTTGTCGCATATCGGTGCGGACGGGGGAAGCCTTCTGACTCTCATTGAACACTTCCACTCACTCCCGTCTTGTTCGCTTTCTGCTCGCCCGCCCGTCAGACTGTCCACTCATCTTCCCACTTCTGTCCTCTTTTGCCCAGTTGCTTCCGTTCCGTCTTATCCACGTTCAACAACCCGCCCTCCGTCCACCACTCACGCAGCCGCGCATCCCCAGTCAACCACCCTTCCCGCTTGCTGCCCATCCATCTCTACACTACACTACCGCCGGCCGTACCATTCGCATCCCCAACGCCTCCACCCCCCTTGAAGACACCTCTTTATTTTTTTTCCCTGGCTAATGCATCCGTGAGCTGACACATCCGGGGAAGGGCTTCCGGCGACTGAACCCAGAACCCAGAAATAACCCCCCAAAAAGAGCCGAGGAGCCTCAAATATCTCTTCCCCCAGAAAATCAAACCCATCCCCATAAACCACCAAAGCCTCGAGCTTACCCTCCACAGGGTGGCGCCATGTCAACGGCAATGGACATCGCAGCATCATCAACAACCATCGAGCCGCCGCTCTTCGACTCGGGCATCGAACCGCTCGAAGGGGCGTCCGGCAACACTGCACGCACCATCCTCGTGGCACTGTGCGTGGACGCGAGCACGCGGGAGAAGGCCCTGCGGAACTACTACAGGCTCATGCACTACGAGCAGCAACTCTGTGGACAGGAGCTCATCCGCAACGCCAGCGCCATCACCACCACTATGGGCTCAACCAAGAGGAAAGCCGTCGGGGAACCGAAGATCTGTCTTCAGTGCGATGAGATCTTCACCGAAGACCAGAACCAACTAGGCGCTTGCTGGTACCACTCAGGTAAGAGAATACTTACTCCCTGTTTCCTTCTGTTCTCTATCTTTTTTTTTCTGCTCACTTTGTCATCAAGACAACTGCTATTTTCGTCATTGCCGTATTGCTTGTCTTTTTTGATGGGGTTCTAGGGGTGGACGGAATGGGATAGTGAGCTTTCTCGGTTACCTGAACTAACCATGACTCGTCTAGGCGAGCTGGAACTAATGGATGAGAGCGCCATCGACCGTGAGCCGGCAGAAATGGCGCTGTACGATCTGGACACGGAGCCCATCCGCGCCAGACACCCGGAGGCCTTCCGGTGGTGTTGCTGCCGGAAGACGGGCAAGGCACGGGGCTGCACGCCTGGCCGCCACGAGTCCAACCCGGACAGGAGCAAGAAGGGCCGCGGAGACTTCTCGGACCTCGATGAGGACTCGCTGGATCTCGACGACACATCGTTAGATGACGACGACGACGATGATGACGATGACGACGGCGACTCCTCGGAGCACTCGCCCGGGAGCAGCAACCACGACGACATGCATCATCACCATCAGCAGCCGCAGCAGCAGCAGCAACCGCAGCAGCACTCGCCAGCCAACGGGCGGCATTGACGGGAGCACCATCCCGCTTGGACCATTTTTCCAATGACGTTGAAAAAGAGTTGTTTGGATCTGTTTTTAGTTTGGTGTTTCTTTCTCGGTTGTCGCCCAACACGCAATCAGGGGGCGGGCACGGGACGGCACGGCACGAAGAAAAAAAAAAAGAGGGAAGAGACCAAAGGAAAAAAGTTCTTGCTCGAGCGCACTTCGCTCTCTTGGATCCGAGTTTGATAGACCGGTCAAGGGGAAAAAAATCCGTATTTTTTTGGGCGCGGTTCTTGTTTCGAGCAATCGGATGGTTCCCGGTCCCTTCCGCGGCGCTGCGGTCTGGTCGGTCAACGGTCACAGCCCAGATACGCGAGATGATGGGCTTTATTGTTGTTGGCAAGGGCATTGGGCACTTATTGTGTTGGGAGGAGCAGCGACAGACGACACATGGTTTTTAATGATTTTTTTCCTTTCCTTCACTGGGAGGCACAGCATTGGGAATTTGCTCACAAAATGGGCACACACACACAAGTGGCCTGGTTGATGATGGGGAACACAGACACAGACACAGATCTGGGTATTGGGAAAGGGGGAGGCAACACACGCATACATGCACACACACAACGCAAACAGCCATTTTGGAATTTACTTGGACTTTTGTTAGTTGGTCACCTCTTTTTGAGAGGGGGAGCGGGGAGTCAGTCATTCTCAGCACAGCGGGAAGCCGATTTCGAGCACGACACTGCGCATACGGCACAGCACATGATTTTTAGTGTGGCACAGAACTCTCACTCGGGGGAGGGCATGGGAAGCGGGCATTTTGGTCATGGGATGGGAGGCAAAGCAAGTCATTGTACCTTAGGAGTCGAACAACAAAACGAAAGGAGAGGCCAGAGAGACGTAAATTGATCAACGGGGCAGCCCGATTGCGTGTTACACAAGAACCGGGCAGACATTGAAGTTTGAGCATTCTGGCAGGGGACGAAAATGAGCTGATCAACCGATGGCAGAGTTTCTGCCGGCACGAGGCAACCCAGTTGCCTCGTCTCCTACAGATTAAAGGACAGCCAGCAGCAGCGACCGCACTTTTGACAGCGTTGCAAATGCAAATCGAGATTCCCAAAGGCGGTGGCGAGATGCATGCCCGACTTGACCCATGCATGCATTCCGCATTTTTCACGCACACGCGCACATGTGGTGAGATGGGATGGGATGGACTTGTTACCCTCTTCCGGATTTCCCTTGTGTGCTCTCCCAGTCAGAATGCGATATCATCTGCAGCGCGCACTCTGCAAGGGACACCGTAAGCAGCCTAGCATAAGACACATCGGGGGCGGCCAATGGGGTTCGGCGGGAAGAGCTGATGGGCAGTTGGCCCTGTTGTGTCGCCGTACGGATCGATGTGTGCTGCCCACCACCACCACCACCACCGCCGACCGACCCCGGCCCTGCCTCCTGCTTCCCTCCCCGCGGCACGCCAGGCGAGCGACACGCATGCTTACAGGGCCGGTTGGGCGGTAAAGAGAACGGGGGCGCAAGGCACTTTGCATGCTGTCTGTTCGTGCGTCCAATGGGTTCTAGGGGACGGGGGTCCGATTGTGCATGGGCCGGATGCCGGTTCCGTGCCTCCCCGGGGAGGACGAACCCTGATCGGCGCTGGGAGGGAAAAGCCCAACGGGCGGACAGGATGAGGTGAGAAGAGAGGGAGCGCGTGTGCTGCTGGAGTTGGATGAACGCTCCGACGGATAGTTCCTTTTCTCGCTGCTATTTCCGTCGGGCAGTGGTCAATCAATGCCTAAGTGGTGCGCAATCATGTTGATTGGTGTGTGGGACTAAGGGGGACGCGTAAAGATGCTCGCGGAAGCGCGTTGAAGGTTTGCCGCGGTGGAGTCTTGTTTCCCCCTGTTCACCTCTCTTTCGTGTCACCAACAAGTCACAGCCTGCATATCTGTCGAGAAGTCTGGAGCGGTCCTGTTCATCCGACGTTGCGTCTAGACCTTTCCAGACGACAATTAAGGTATACCGCTACTTCTCGTCTTACGTCACTTGTCAAATCGAACGTGCATGTACTGACAGATGGATGTAGCTAAGCGGGTGCATGAGGGGCCCGTTTGCTGCCAGATACGCTTGAATGTGATCTAGAGCTCCGAAAGCTCTGGAGTCGAACAACGCAGATATGGCCACACCATGGACACCGCAGTCCAACGAGATCTCCAATTTGTCGTTGGAGCATGCGCGTGCTATTCTCCACGCCCTGTGCCAAGAGAGGAAAACCAAGGCCAAAGTGCTCGACCTCGCGAGAAAATTAAAGCACCAGGAGACCCTTAGGCAAGCGCAGGCATCCGCCAAGCCGGCCCGACCGCTTGCCATATGTGTTGAATGTCGTGAAGTATTTGACCCCAATACTTCCGGTCCGCGTGACTGTTTCTATCACCCAGGTTCGTGAATTCCCTCGTCGGCATCTGTTCGAATCCAGGGTCACTAACATTGCTGCGCGAACAGGCTACCTGGAAGTCGACGACGAAGGCGGCTTTTGGGCGGACCATGATGAAGACTGTCACGGTAAAATTGATACTGACGAAATGCGTGAGGAGTTCCCCGATGGCTTCAGATGGGACTGCTGCGGCCAAACTGGAGATGCAGAAGGGTGTCACCGAGGCGCGCACCAATCTGATCAACTTGTGAGCAAGGACGGCATCTCGGCGAATCAGTACGAGAGCGACGAAGAGGAAGATGACGACAACGAAGATGAAGACGAGAACGAAGAGGACGAAGAGGACGAAGCTCAAGAGGAGAAGGGCGAGGACCCGGAAGTCGTCATCGTGGAAGAGAGACAAGTGGTTAACAAGCGCAAAGCTGATGACAGCTTTGAAGTCTCGGTATATGCCCAGAATTCGAAGAGGGATCGTTGGTAAATCGGCGTTCAAGGGCTATGGGCTTTCATAGTTACATCGATTAGGAGAGTTGTAGGATATTTGTGTTCGTTATGGTATGTGTACTATGAGATGTGTTTCAATTGAGATGAACTCCATCGTATGGATATACGTAGATTCCGACTCATTGCTTGTACGTCCGGTCGAACGGGTTGAGATGTAATGCTTTCGTGTCTTTCTCCCGTAGTTTAGTAGAGCCTGCGCCACGATTCTTTTGTGAGCTTTCCATTCAGAGTCTCATCGTCTCTTAACATTGAAGTCTCGTGTTCATCGATGATCTTTAAACTACTCATTTTCCAGCAAATGTTTGGCCTAGTAAGTTGCGCTTAGCAAGCACTGGACGGTTACACTAGAAGGTACCAGGACCATCTGCCCTGGATCAGGTAGTCCTTTAAATCTCTCAAAGGCCATATTGTCCGACCTCCTGCTCCATTCATTCCGCGGGCGCTGGATGAAAAGAGCCAAGCAGTCCGTCCAGCTTTCCCAACGTGGGGGCGTGAATTGCTCATAGTCATTTTGAACCATCGTCGTCCAAAAATAACCGTCTGGTACCCATTCGCCCCTCTTGTCTGGAGACTGCTTATAGGCACGTACCCTCACATTAATCAACGGTACATCACCCGCTCCACGAGGGGGTATATGAAGCCAGGTCGGAGAGAAGCTGTCATTCTGGCGCCATTGAACATCAAGGCAGAAAAGCCGAGGATATCCTTTGGCTATCAAATCTTTTGTCTCATCGTGAATTTGCCGGTTGACTAACATCATAGCCAAAACGAAGTTGAATATGTGCTCGGGCTGCTCATTGGACTGTGTCGCATGTTGAAGCTGGTCGGAGCGAATTGCTTGCCATTTTTTCCAGCCGTGCTTATCATCCATGTCGTTATAATCCTTGGTGGACTTTTCTATAGATTCTCGAAGGTCATCAGCGGAGATAGTATGGTAAATGATTTCGTTGCGAAGCTCGCGCGGGAGTGCCAGAAGCGTCGCTGTAGGCCCCATGTTGGCAATGTATTACGGACTCGAGAAGTAGCCAATGTGAAAAGTTGTCTTGAGTTTCAACGAAAGAAGATTCTTCTTGTGGCGCCTAAATGATGAGGACCTTGATGTTCAAACATGAGGTCAGCTGACCCAACTATCTACCGTACATACTTAGTATCAGACAGTCAAAAAGGCGATCAAGGTATCTAATCGCCACAGCAAGAAAATGTATGTCTGGCGGTCTAGCTGTCTGGCCGGACTGTATCTTCACGCTGAAGCCCCAGCGCAGGATTCCGGACCATGTCGAGCGGCCGGCCGAGACTGATCCTGAGACCCGGCCGGCCGGGATATCGGCAAGTTGTTGGGCTCACCGAGGCAGCTATCATGACAACAAAGTATTGCCTCTCTCTTGGTTAAGCGATGTCTGCAAGCGACTCTGCACAGCTGGGATGAACACCGCCTCCAGCCCCCGTCCGACACCTCAATTCAACCAATCGCATTTCTCATCGCCAAGCCTCCCCGACGTCAAGGGTCCAGATCGAAGGTCATCCCAGCAAATGTTTAGACTGCCCATTGATCCATCGAACGGCCCATGACGTGAATCATAACCGCTACCAACCAGTCGCATCTCCCGGATCCGTTCTCCACGAGGCTAACGCTCGCCCGGGCCAACGAACCATGAAGCCGATCATCCGCCGTCCGTTTTGTCTTTTCTTTCCAAGCAGCTGGGAATCTCCAAGGTCTCAGAAAAAAGGATTGTTGGTCCGTGATTGGATGAAGCACGCAAGAAAAAGTGAAACACGCCACACTGAGACCTAGCCGCCCATCGCCGTTGGCCCTCCCATTCTCCGTCAAACGTTCGGCCGAGAAGCCGAATAGCTTGTTTGGGACTTCGCTTCCTCTTCCATTTTGAGATGCGCCCTCCAACGGCTGGGATGCCCCCGCCACGAAGAAGCATTTTGCGGTGGAAAGCCTGTGTTTCTCAGCCACTCTGCTGCTCTCCTCACCGACGCTCCTTGCATTTCCCGTCGCAAATGAGCTCAAATGGGGTGAAAAGGCCTCGGTTAGATCTGGGCCCGCGATGGAGATGAGGTCGTCTCGATCGTGCGACGGCCTGCTCGGGCTGACGGCTGCCATCGCAAGTTGCCATGCAGTATAAGAATGGCCAGCATCGCATTCCCTCATCCCATCTCGATTCTGGCTTCGGCAGACTAGCAAGGAAAATCAGCGCGACATCCTCCCAAACCCTTTTTCGTGTTCGTTTTCTGCCCACGTTTCTGAAAACCACGTTTTTTGTCCCCTCCTTCGTTCGATAGTTCAAGATGGTTGCCTCGCCGGTCGTGGCTTTAGGCTTTCTTGGCGCCTTGCAAGGCGCCGGCAGTCCGCTTGTGCAGCGGCAGGCTACCGGCTGCGCGACGGGCGTGCACATGATTGTCGCTCGTGCCAGTACCGAGAGGCCCGGTACGGGCATCATTGGCGAGGTTGCGACCAAGGTCCAGGCCCAGATCCCCGGGTCCGATATTACGCCCGTCGACTACCCGGCGCAGCTGAACCCTTACCAGCCGTCTCAAAAGGCTGGAGTTGATGCCATGACGAAGCTGGTCCAGGATTACGCGAAGCAATGCCCGCAGACGAAGATGGTGTTGATGGGATACTCCCAGGTAGGATGATCTTGTCTAGCTGGATGACAGCAGCTAATAGCGATGTAGGGAGCGCACGTCACGGCCGATGTCCTCTGCGGAACGAGCGAATCTGGGTTCGCAGCCACGCCAGCCCAAGCGGCCGATGTCACTGACAAGAGTGCGTATAATGGTGTTGACAACTGGGCAGAAAAGGTCTAACTCTAGCATAGTCTCTGCCGTCGTGCTCATGGGCGATCCCAGCCACGTTGTTGGCCAACCTTTCAACACGGGAACAAGCCAGAAGGATGGCGTGAGTATACCCGGCGGAAGGATCAAACGAAGATAACAGAGTTGGCTAACGGACACACCCGCAGGTCTTCCCGAGGCAGGACAACGCCGCATGTGGCGCGGTTGCCAGTAAGATGACCTCCTTCTGCGATACCGGCGACCCATTCTGCGACAGCGGAGCCAACCTTCAGGTTCACCTGGGATACGTGACCAGGAACGGAGACGATGCAGTCAAGTTTATCGTGGATAAGGTTAACGGCGCCGGAGCTGCGGGTGGAGCGAAGAACACTACTGCTTGACTAGGAGACGCAGGGGCCGGCAGGTCCAGCCTGTTGTGTTTCCAGTATTACATCTTGCTGCTGGCACAGATTGTTGGATTCGTTCTGCTGGTAGCCGCTTGAACTCGGGCCAGGATCCGTACAAAACATAGTCACGTACTGAATACGCACAAATAATCGTCATCGCAGATCAATTACCATAGTATCAAGAATTCATGAGCATTCAGGCTACGCAGCCGGCCGTTGGGTAGTCACGTAGATCTTTCAGAACACCGCATTGGCTCCCTTTCAGTTGGCACTATTGATAGCCCAGGTAGGTAGGTATGGAAGTTTCCTAATTCATGAAGTCCCTTTTCCGCACGAACCATTTTCAGGTCGATCGTCTCCAAGGAATTATTTGCGCCCCAAAGTCCGAAGTTGCAGAACTTGCAGACCGCAATGTCAAAGTGGATACAAGTAGTTTCTGCGGTGATGAAGTCGCGATGCTGAGGTGTTGTTGTAGAAATGAATGCCATGTATTTACAGTAAGGTATGTGAAAGGAAGTGAGTTACAAAACGAAAGGGCGTCGATGCTGCAAAAGCCCGTCTTGCGCAGATTGCCTGGTCTTTCCACGACCATCATCCTCGAGCCCTAAAACTTCCCCATTGAACTGCTTCATGTCTTCTTCGTCCTCCGATATATGCAACGAGAGCAACGAGATGCTGTTTCTTCCAAGCGTGATATCATCACCCAAATCAACCTCAAAGGTCATATCTGGTCTAAACTTGTAATCCCGAATGATTCGTGTGACACCTTCCCGGTATATCCACAAGGTTTTCCTGGATTGAACTTCCAGAGACTTATTTGAAACCCAGGGCACGAGATCGTTGACTGCACAGTGTACGGCCCTCTTCCGGGACTTCTCTGCCTCGATGACATTCGTCAAGCTTCCTATGTTGCTGTTCACATACACAGCAGCGATTGCTCTGATGCTGTCCTTGGTGACTCCCCTACCACACTGACGGAAGGCCTGGTCTAAGATGAGTATTAGATCACATGCGCACTTAAGAACCATCCGCACCGCCGCTGGTGCTTCAAGAAGAGGAGCCCCAAGGGCAAGCGGAATGCCTCCGACAGCCGTGGTATAGTGAATGCAAACAGCACCACCCCAGATGATGAAGGATTGGCTCAAATTCAGAGCCATGAATGGTGCTAGGTTGCCCCACACAACGTCAGTCATCACAGCGTCTATATCACCGATGCTGGCTTTGGGGATACCAAAGGACCCGTGCGCGATTTCCTGGCAGAGCATCTGTGAGATAGTGGGCGTGGTCATAGCCGAGATAACCCTAGGCCCAACAGCAATGCCCGAAGCGGTGACGGTTGCTCTAAGAAGCTTGAGCGTCCTTTCAATGGCTTGGTCGATTTTGGTTTCAACTTCCAGGCTCTGAGCGACCACCATCGCCTCAGATACTACAGGGCTGCTGAAACCGTCGATTGTCATTTGGATCAATGCCTTGATCGAGTCTTGGTCATCTGCGGCACGGTGTATCAATACATGAACTCCGCAGTGTAGAATGTGTTAGAATGACATACATTTGGATACGAATGCAAACTTGACCTTCAGTTGCGGCCAAAAGGGGGAGGTTTCTGGGTTCTCGGCAAAAGTCTGCCTGAGAACGGTTTCTCTGGCTGAAAGCATCGCCGTTTCCTGCATCTCACCCCGATGACGAGAAAGATACTCGTCCTTTTTGGTACCTACAATCACAACTGGTGTCAAGGGGCAAATTTCAATGACTTCTCGCAGCACATTTGCTATCTCATATTGAACTGGACGGGGTGTGTTCGTTTCGATACAGAGCCTAGGAGATTTGCATTAGCAGGAGTAGCTGACGGAAGCCAGAGCAACTCATTTACCATATCGCGTGAAGATTTTGTGCAATGTCTGAGTTACCAGTCCTCCTTTGGAGAAATCTCTTGAATTCTAGGACATCCTCGTTGTTGTATGATCGCAAGCCTTCGGAGTCGTGAATGATAATGCCCGGGTGTAAATCCGACTCAAAGGCTTCCTCAATGTCATGTTGACCCCTTCGATTGAAATTTGCTTGGGTCTAGTAACTGTGTTAGGAGGCCCAGAGTGTTCATCGATTTCGCACATTTACCCACCATTGATATGCCAAAGACATGGTTAACGAGCGTAGACTTCCCAACCCCAGTGATACCGCAAATCAGAATTCTACACGTCGTGGACATTAAGATGTCCCGGCGCCAAGGCTCACAGCTCGCCCCCACGTTGTCGACAAACTTGAAGCAGCTGCGGAACGATTCCAAATGATCCATCAAGCTACCGAGAGCTTTGGGTATTCCGAGGGTAGGATAGCAATCTATCAAAAAATAGACCGATGGATGGATCACCGTCCCGTTAGGGGCTACAGAGAGCAAGTCAGCAGAGTTTGGAAAGCCGCATAGGGAAGTTTGAGCGCTCACAAATGTCGCTATAACCCTTCAGATATCCGCGAATCTGGGTGTCGAACACATGCCTCCTTCCAAGAGCGAAGCCCCGGAATCCCTTGTTCATAAGAACTTCATGCGTAGACCAAACCTCCTGCTCGCCGTTCGGATCAACAAGTCTCTGGAGTCCCCGTCTTGGGATCTGCCGCAAATTTGAATGATTATGCGATTGCCGCAGATCATACATTGTGATCTCCATGCCACTTGAGTATCTAAACGTCCAAGGTTCGGTCTTGGTGAAACTCTCTGGGACGTCAGCCTCTAAGACGTTGGCTCCAAGATCAGCAAGCTTCGGGGGCTTGGGAAAGACAAGATCCGTAGGATCATCAATCAAACCCTTGATATAATCTGGAACATCATACTCGAGGAACAGACCCTCAGCCATGCTCTCGATCATCATCCACTGAAGTGGGTACAGTGACAGGCCGTCGTGATCAGCCCCTCCACCCATATCTGCATGTGAGCCCACGAACCATGCCTGAATACAGCGGTGACTGTTGTGCGTAGCTTTTGTGTTGCCAATTGAATCAACCGGAACGAGAGGGAAGCTCTTTCGCTCCTCGTTTAAGGCCAGGGCGTGTCGAATCTGGTTCGTGAAGCTGAGGTCGGATATGTCGATCATGTCTTTGCTAAAGGTCATCTTGACAGTGTCGAATAGGCCCAGGAACTTGATCTTTGGGGGGTCTCGTGTGTTTTCGCGGCTGGCAAGTTTTGTTAGGCGAGGGGAAAGAAGACAAGCGACGGTACTCACTGCCACCGGAACTCCTGCTCAACTAATCCAGTCCTTCGACGACTGGTTCCTATGTTTTTGATCGCCTTCCAAATTGAACTTTCCTTCGCATTCGGAGCTTCTCGTAGTTTGGTGCTATTAAGAAGCACGGCCACGGCCCGTACGACAACTGCGTATCCGTCAGCTCAACTCAATCCCCATGGATGTATCTCCTTACATGCTCCACGGCTGAAACCGAACAGCCACAATTCGTCCTTGTTGGATACAACCTCTCGGCAGCAGTACTAACTCAGTTGAGCACATATGAGATCTACGGTTCACTTGAGCACATGGCGTGACTTACTGCATAAACCTCTTGGATCTGCTCTTCGCAACCTTTCCCAGTTATGCCGTCGTTGAACCTGTTCAGCGGCATTTTATTGGTGCCAATTCCGGGGAAATATTTCGCAATCTACTAACGGTCAGCTGCGAGAAAGCAGTTATCGTAAAATAATCTTGCCTGTTCGACTTCATTTCCGTCTCCATCTTTCGTCTTCCCAATCTTCACCGACGCGTAAATGCGGAATATGTTGCTATTGTTGCCGTGACCGTGACCTGTATCATGTGATTTAGCTGCGTATCTTACCTCGTGATACTGACTCTTACCTTCGCGCCCATCCTCATTGAACCAAGTGCCGTCCACGCAGACCACAATTCTTCTGTAACCTGGAGGTGGTCGAACCAGGTTCTGCCAGACGATTTCGGAACTTTGCCGAACATCTCCTTCACCTTCATGTTGAGATTGGTCCCCGTACCTTTCGGCGATTCCTTCATGGTGCCGGCTTTCAGGAACAGAGTCATACCCATAACTTCGCAGACTAGGGGTTTGATCCAATCTAACGTCAAGCGATAAATGTCCGGAGTCTGAGGCAAAATAGCTGTTCCTTGAAACACGGAACTGTTGCTCGACCTCTTTGTGCAGAAAACGGTCTGATATAAGGTTTTCCAGCGTAGATTCAGCCTGGTTCCATTGTTCTGATTCTGGCAATTCGAGCTTTTCAAACCATACATACATCAACCACGGCAGCAGTGACACATTTGGTTCTGTTGGTTCTGAGATTTGCAAGTACCGGAAGTCGTAGAAGCCCGGTGCTGTTGGCCCTTCAACATGCTCTATTGGAAGGTCTGCCCAAGGCAGCGATCGAAGCGAAAAGTCGTGGATATGCTCCAGAACGTGTCTGATCAAGAATGGAGAGTCTCGAGGACCGGCCACGCTGCAAAGCGGACACAAATCAATCCCAACTGAAGCACTACAAGGCCATAGAGACACTGTATCGAGGAGCTCTTCCGGAAACGAGTCGGCATGCACCTCCATGACATGCTCCGATAGACGTTGAGGAGAGGTGTATGTGGCTATGTCTGTGTCGTCGCAAAGCTGACATTTCCAGACTTTTGGATGAGTTTTCTTTAGGTGACTTTCCCATTTTGCCACTGAAGGATAGAGAATGTTTGGCGTGGGACAGTCTTCGGCGATACAAGTATAAGGGTAGATGTCCGCTGCCAGGTGGGTTCTGTAAGCGTACATGTATCAGTAGAGCGCTCTCCCAGGAATAGCTCCTTATACAAACTTACTTCCACGAACTTTCGTCTTCCAGCATACTGTACGGAAGTGTATCGCAGCAACATGGGCATTTCAATACCGCAACTGGACATGCTGTCTCTTGTCCAACATCTTCGATGTGTGGCTGGGGCATGGCAAGTTTGGGATAGTCTGTGACAGTCTGAATGAGACTACGCTGAGTTTCGAGCGATTCAGCATCCTTTGACTCGTTATCGCCAAATACCCCCCTGGCAAAGGACATAGACGCTGTGGGTGAGGCTACAGGTAGCTTGACGGACGACTGGAGTCCTGATCTAGGCGGAACACCTGGAGGTTGGAAGATGGACTTGCCTCTGTCCGATGATAAAGATGGCTGGAGATTTTCTATGGTCGACGTAATAGACCTCATAGGCTCGCCGGAGATATGAGTTTGGGTGAATCGATCTGAGATCTTGTCTGAGTGCTTTTGAGCTGCAAAGAACCGTTGCCGTCTTCGGATATTAGCTTCAATAAGACGTCGTTGAAGTGGAGTCAAGTCATCGGAACTCTTTTCCTGCCACCAAAGCGGCTGTGCTGCATGATGCTCTCGAGTACTTCGATCGGTTTTGGCCGATTGAACGAGGATGAGGCACTCAAGATGTGTTTTTAGATCGTTCGAAACTGTTTGGTCCAGGTTTTCGTCGAGTTTGACACGCCGGGTCCTTCTCCCTGTCTGATGAATCGCAGTTGCTAGTAAAGCCAGATTTTCGATAACAGAGTCGACACTTCGCTTCGACTCCGTGAGTGAGTCTCCCTCGACGGCAGTTTTACATTCAGCGAGACACGATCCGAGCTTGGCCAGCAAGTCCTTCGTGAGTCTCAGTTGACGGGGCCTCTCATGAAGTCCAAAATCAAAAGAAGGTGTGCTTCCGACGCAATCCTGGGCCTCATTCATACCGGCCATCCAAATACTGAAATCTGCTCGTCGATTCTCGATCCAGTGGCAGGTGTTCAGAACTTCTCGGGAGCAACATAAATCAAAATTTCTCAAGCACATGTCTGCCAATGATGCTGCAGACTGTGTCATTGATTTATTGGCCGGGTCAAATGTTTCCGAAGACTCAGACTTTGAGGTCAGATTGACTGGAGTAGTTGTCGTCGAAGCTGTACGGAGAGCGTTGGATGAGTCGTCAGACCACCCTTGGCGCTCTCGGACAGGTGGATCCAGAATGATATCAGGATTACAATTGCCACAAGCTGTATGAGAATGATTGTCGCTTGGCTTATCCGAGTCTGGGGCGATGCCGGATGGGGTGCCATGTGACTCGAGATACGAGAATCTCCTACTCTGATTCGGGAATGTCGCATTGCTGGTAGATGTCGCCAAGTGCGATTCTTCCCGTGACTTGCTCCTATCGTAGCTGATATTGGACTCATGCTTATTGGAGTGTGCGCGTAGTCTTTTGATGTCCTCCTCGCGACGCGTCTCACGTCTTTCCTTATTTGTTTCTTCTTCCCCATCCTTCTTTCTCTCTTGGGTGAGATCCTTACTTTCACCCCTTCTGGCCTTCGGTGGAGAATCATGTGGTGGGAGCGAGACAGCCCTAGGTATGGACATATTTGAATCAGACCTGTGAGCACCATCTCTGAGCTTGACATTCTCTTCGACTAGCGTTCTGTTCTCGCGAGCCAACTTTTCATTGTCGTTTTTCAATTGCTCAACGGTGTCCCGAAGTGCTGTCAATTGAGCATTGAGGCCCCTGAAGGTATTTTGGGTCTCAGAGAGTTGATCTTGTGCGATAAAAGATTCAATCCAATGTCCTCTTGCTGTTGTGTTGCTTCCAAGGTCAAGATCGTCCATGACGGGGTGCTCTCTGACCATGGAAGCTGCCTCGTGTGCGTCGGACTTGGGCGGTGGAGTTTCCTGGGGAGAGGCTTCGGCGGACATCTCTGCTTCATAACTTTTGTATTCGCTGAATGCAAACTGTGTAGATTCCCAGTCTTAATCGGGATTATCTTGCCGCTGTAAGAATTCAAGAATTCGCCAACAACAAGGATATGAGCAATTTTGCTGCAGCTTGGCGAACTCGTCGATATTTGACCATAACGAAACGTCCGCAATCAGGCTGCGAGGGGTATGAGGAGTATGAAAGCCGTCAGAAGTTGGAGACAGGAAATTTCAGTGTTGAGAGAAGCGGATTTATGTTTTTCATGATTGCCGAGGTTTTCATTGGTTGTGCTTGGCCAAGTGATCTCACGTGCATGATGACATGGGGAGGCGAAGGAGCATGGAGATGCGTGATTTGAGGGGTAAGATGTTTTCTGCTTGGACTATCCCAAAGTCATCATTCCAATTACAACCATTAACATTACGATGAGAACGCCCTACGATGGACGAATGTGATCTGCTCAACTCTCTGGAAGCGTGCGCTTGGAAAGTCAGTGAGGCAATACAAGGCCTCCAGAGATGCCCGCATAAGCCCCATGGACAGTGCAGTGTTTGCATGGGCGTCCAGACGAGGCTGGGGCTGATCTCTATCCGACTCGAGGCGGATCCCGAGGCGGGCTTGGGACGCGAGTTTCAACAGAAGACACTTGATCTACTTAGAATTATTGCGGATATGTGCTGGGTAAGTTACAATGACGTCCCCTCCTTCTCTGAAGACCTTCAAGCTCTCTTCCCAAACGCCGTCCGACAGTTGTATCCTTTCTAAGAGAGCGTACTCAGTGGCCAAGAATACTCCGACGAAATGGCCAGTCCATATCCAATCTACGTGACTTTCTCGATGACGAAACGAATGAGATAGCTTTGAGAAGCAGCCTCTCAGCATACTTGAGACAGCCATCTTTTGTTGTGCAAGGTCTAAGTTCGAAGTGCGAGGAGCTTTTAACCCAGCTACAGATCAATGATTCGGAAGACCTCATCGAAGCTCCAGAGCCGGAAGACTTTTCAAAGGTTCATCGGGAGATTTTGCCGATTCTTCGCACTTATACAGCCTGCGAATCTTGTCAATCGAGTCTCGTTTCGCATGTAGGGGCGTCTTGGCACCCATCCAGATTGTTCTTGACGGGGCCCAAAAGAAACGAGGACGATGTGGTCCGATTTGACATCATCACCTCATCTCTTGTTGATTACACCTGGCAAGACATTTGTATCGACATGCCTGTGTATGTTCATTGTCACCCGGGAATATTTACAGCTGACAACTACTTCAAGGCTCTCAGGCGATCCGATTGCATCGGATCAGGAGGCTACCAACGCCAACGACATCTGCTGCCAACAGAAACTCCATCTAGATATGGAACCTCTGGCTACATTTTGCGAGTTTTTCCAGCATGATGACGGCTGCCGTATTGCTTTGAAGCTTGAAGATGGGGCACTAATCCGTCTAGGCGCCGAAGCATTGAAGCATCGAACATCCCCTGGGAAGGGATTGGCATTAGCGGATGTTTTGGAGGAATATGAGTTCAGTGTGAAAGAAAGATTTGCTCTCGCGCACGCTATAGCGTTGGCATTCTGGCAGTTTTACAATTCGGAACTTATGCATCGGCCGTGGAACAGTCAAACGATTTGGTTTATGCCAGAGCCGGATCTACGGGGGGATTCGGAGAAACTGCCACTAAGAGTCTACATCTCGTTTCACCCTGAAGCCACTGAGTGTGTCTTTGACGCAACAGAGTTCGCGACCACGAGAGCACTTATTCACCGTTGCCCGCGCATCCAAGCTTTGGCGATATTGCTCTTAGAAATTGGACTTGGAAAGGCCCTTAGGTGCCCACACTTTGATCGAGAGACTAAGTCTCTTAACTATCGGTACGCCATGGCGATCAAATACTTGGAAGACCTCAAAAGCACGACATGGGATAACTTTGCACACAAGCACATTTACACAGATGCCGCAGAAGATTGCCTCAAGTTTGAAGGCTTGATGGGAAAAGAAAGAAATGTTAATCCGTACAACTCTATTACTCGGAGACAGCTCCTACAAGAACGTGTATTGTCACGTTTGGAGTGGCTGAATAGGGCATTCCGGGCAAGAGACGACAAGATGAGCTATCTTTCGACTAAGCGATGCTTGAAGCCCTACCAACAGAATAAGCATCTTGCCCAGGTAACGGAGAAAGTTCCGTCCCAGCCTCGCTCCGCAGTAAGTGACGAGACGGACACTGGAACTCAGAACCGACCCAACAGCCGACAGGACTTCAGAATCGCCATCATTTGCGCACTTTCACATGAAGCTGACGCTATCGAAGCCCTTTTTGACACTCACTGGGACGAGAACGGCCCACCTTATGATAAAGCGCCACAAGACCCAAATGCATACTCTACCGGGTCTATCGGCCGTCACAATGTGGTGCTTGCCCATATGCCGGGTATGGGGAAAGCAAATGCGACCCGTGTTGCAACCTTTTGTCGCGTCAGTTTTCCCAACATCACCTTAGCACTAATTGTTGGCATATGCGGTGCGGCGCCTTTTATACCGGGCGGCGGGGATGAGATTGTGCTGGGAGATGTAATCATCAGCGATGGCATAGTTCAGTACGACTATGGAAGACGTCTTCCTGAACGCTTCATCCCCAAAGACACTCTCCTCGACTCTTTGGGGAGGCCAAACACAGAGATTCGCTCACTACTTGCAAAACTGAAGAGCATATACAGCAAAGAGGCGCTGCGGAAGAAGACAATAGCCTACGTCGACGAACTACGGAAAATACCAGAGCTGAAAGCTGATTATCCAGGCGTCGACAATGATTTTCTCTTCGAGCCAACTTTTCATCACCTTGGGGGCGGGAAGACGTGCGCAGAGTCCAGCTGCAACGGTGAGCTGGTCAGGCGCCTTCGCCTTGATACGGCTTCGCCAGAGCTAAAGGTTCATTTTGGCTTGATTGCATCTGGTGATACCGTGATGAAGGCCGGCGACCAGCGGGACGAAATAGCTCAACAGCAAAGCGTGATTGGATTCGAGATGGAGGGCGCTGGGGTATGGGAAAGCTTCCCTTGTGTGGTTATCAAGGGAGTCTGCGACTATGCTGATAGTCACAAGACGAAGCTTTGGCAGAGCTACGCGGCAGTGACAGCAGCAGCATGCGCAAAAGCTTTCTTGAGTTATTGGGCGCCGCACCAAGAAATGTCCCACCAAGGAAAACCCTACGAATAACAACGGAGTACGACCCTACAAATCTCTCGCGAGGGGCCGCAGCAGACAGTGGTGATGTTCAGTTGGCTAAACTTTGTACATGTGAATGGAAATAGATCTCGTATGGTTTGAAAGAATTAGCTCTCTCAACCCCTTCACAAAGAAGCCAGCGGCAGTGCAGCGCAGTACCAAGATTATCGCGACGAGCTAGATGATTTCGTGCGGGTAATGATGAGAGCAAGTCGTTGTGCACTTCGCCGGCATAAGATTTGATCTTAACAGGTGAAAAGGTGATCGCGCTTTACGAACATTACGACGGCCCTTGGATAGACAACCTCGATAGCCAGATCCACCAAATGACCAATGAGCTCTGCACTTTGATTGACAATGTACTGAATAAGCTCTCTCCAAAACATCAGTACAGCCTGGGTCCTAGAGGATCTAGTAACAGGTTCAAAGATGCTGCCAAGAAGATTCAGTCCTCTTTCACCAAGAAGGCTTCACTGCAGGCAATACGAGAGAAGGTATCACATTACAAGGATTCAATTTCGCTCCTGATTTCAGTTGCATCTCAGTAGGTGGAAATATGTTATCTATTCCAAGTTTATATATGCTTAACTTTGAAAGGATATCCATGCGGGCTGAGTCGCAGACAATATCGTCTCAAATGAAGGAAGCAGAGAGGCTCTTAAATTTCAATCAAAATAGTCTCTCTAAGTTGCATGAAGAGCAAGCCCAATATCAACAGGAACAGGGTATTCATATCAGCAAAATTAAAGAAGCTGTGGAGGCCCAGGCTAGCAACATGTTCGCCATTGGAGTCAGAATTAACGATACATTCTCAGCAATCGTCAAGATCAAACGCATAACTACACAATTAGCCAATACGCTGCAGCTTCTAATCTTCAATCCTTCAACTTTACGCAGCATCGATCCAACATTAGAGAAACCCATCCTATTGGAAACTTCCTTGGGACATCTCTGGGAGCTTGAGGCTTGGGTAAGGGACTGGGAGGTAAGTCACCATCCTCCTAGGGAACGAGTCCAATAACTCAAGAATGCGCCACAGACATTCGATGATTATGTTGCCCTCCGATTCAAAAACCTAAAAGGCCATGATATGGTTCTCCATAAGAGTTTCGCACTCGAGGAATCATGTTCTGGAAGGGACATCAATCGGCAAATCCCATGGTCTGCTGCAATGCGTCCAGGCATGAAGATCGATATGAGCATAATTTTTCGAGTAACTACCCCGGAGACGAGAGCGTGTCCTCGGTGTCATACCCAAGCTCTCTCGCTGACGCATATAAACATGCAGTGGTGGGTCAAGCTGAACCAAAACGACAAGATGATGGCTTAGTCTTGTTAACAAACGAAGTCCGAATGCCGATTGTGGCATGTAGTACCGGCGAGAAGATAGGGCGCCGGACTCTTGTGTAGTCCAAACCCCTGGTGATGGTGAGACAAAAGAAGATGACTGGGTGACAATTTCCAGTTTCCAACGCGTTCGACTTATTACCCAATACGCCTCCATTTTTAGTGTCCCAGTAAGACGTGGCTTATCGTTTAATCGGAGGGGGTTTCTGACATGTGCTTGAGAAGTCCTACTCATTCCACGATGATGCGAACTCATGTGGCAGGAGTCTTGATAGTCCACACTCAATTTCATCAACTTCATTTCCCTCCTCTTTTGCATTGTTGATGTGGACCTACTATCTTTACCTCCAGTCTAATTGCATCTACCTTGTAAGGTAATGAGCCTTGGTCTTTAGCGAGCTTCTCTGCGAGAGATAGAAAAAACGCCTGGTACCTTTCGGATAGGCTCTCGCTGAGTTGGTTAATTCAGGTTAAAGCCTGGACAGTGACAACAGCAGGATCTAGTCAGTCAAATGAGAGCGGGCAAGATGTGGGTCAAAGTTGGAAGCTTGGTGAATTTTCAAGTCGAAGTTTGGATTTGGCAATAGCTCAAGATTATCGAATGTTGAACTATTGATAGATTCATAAGCCATTGATAAAAATGATCAAGACGAAAGTCGCGTCTCGACCATGTCGCCTGAAGCATCGTTCAGTTCTAGACTGGAAGGTGAACCAGACTTGAAGTTAAGGGACAATATACGAAACGACCAGAGACTTGAAGACGCGCCGCCTGGCGGCAAGACGCGACGAAGTAGCCAAGAAACGCGGACCCCGAGCTGCAGCCCTCGGCGACCATGCAACAATGTCCTTACCACTGCTTAAACCCGCCTACGGGACGTGATACCGCTAGTGCAACCAGCATCACACTTGAATACTCATCGCGTAGCTGGCATCGGGCCCCTTTCCCATCTCTCCTGCAAGGCGAGGTAGCCGGGCTGAAAGGTGGGTGACTACATGAAGTGGCTGGCCCACTAAAAGGCATACGCAAACTGCATAAACTGGAGGGAATGTGGAATTAGCAAGTCCGGAGAGAGGGTGGGTTGCTGCAAAGGAGGCTCGTTCCGGTCGATGATGTAAGTATGCTCCAGCCTTCTCGCTACACGATCTTGGCTTGAAAGTGGCCTTCAAAGGGTTGTCAGGGGTAAGGCATCGAAGCGTACTAGAGGCGCCTGCATGTGTTGATCCGAAACTTTTGAAAGGCTGAGAACCAAGATGTCTAATAAACGAGGAGAAAAACGGTTAGTGCCTGGGGGGAAATGTTTCCAGCACCGCGGATCCGTCCACACTTCGGGGGGCGTGGAGGGTAGGACCCCGGTCTTCTTTCAGGAAAGGCGAACCGTTAGTGCCATGTCATTTAAGGCCACATCAGGAAATTTGGCATCACTTCCCTTGGGGTACGCAGAGATGCTGAAGGCTGGAATGGGAGTAGTTGACGGAAGAAGTTGCCGTAAAGCAGTCTGCATTGGTCTGTTGGAACCCCAAACTGCGCCGTCGTCGAGGTGCACATCGCTGCAGCCGAATTCCGATCTGCGAACATGGAGTTGACGGTCTCGCATCCAACTGACTTTCGAAATCTGGGTGGCTAGCGGATGGGCTTGCAAAGATCCAACAAGGCCCGCTTGGCTCTCCAGCTCTGTGGGTGCTTCCTCATGTCCAATTTTCGACACCAGAGTGTGCTGTGCCGCTGGAACACATGCAAAGACGCCGAGACAAGACGGCTTTTCGGAGCGAACCCTGCAATCGCAAATTCAAACCCGCAGGTCACATGTCTTGGCCTGTATACTGCCATGGGTCTATGCCGGCCGGGAGAACTGGTAGTAAGACGCCGTTTGTGAGTAATGAGTCAAGGCTACAGAGAGACGAGTCTTCTTAAGGTCACAGCGCCACGCACATCCGATTTTCCTCCAAGTCGGAACGCGGCCGAAGCTTGCCACGGGGATCGCCGAGGCCGATCCTGCTGATGGACGCGTACCAGATGCTACGATGATCTACGTATACTGGGCTTTCGTGCTCAAAGATCGTCAAGCTGAGATCGAGCTTGATTTCAGGGCCGAGTACGGATGTTGGCTTCATAATCCTCCAAATAATAGCTATCGGTTTTAGTTGTCATCAAAGAGATCAACACCTTGCCACGCCTACTTTTCCTGAGGCAAAGCCCCCAAGCTGGACGAGAGCCTATATGCGAGGCGATCTTTTTTTCCGCCATCATTGGCAGCTTGCCTTCAAAATTTTGATGAATATCATTCAGCTAAAGCGCTTGTGATATACCGTGAAACAGCCACTTAGAAGCTTCTCATCGCGAGAAGCGATACCCGACCGTCAGTCATAACATGGAAGCGTCCGACATCGCCGCCAGTGTGTTTGTTTCATTGCTGTCAGCTTTCGGTCGTAGGATCCGTCCCGCACGCTCACCAGCGGCACAGCAGCGCAGCTTTCGGGTCCGTAATCCTGAGACGAAGACGGCCGGTAGGGCGCTTTTCTCCGTCACAGCAAGCGGCAGCGTGGCGTTGGATCACGGCCCGGACAAGCAGGTAGGACGACGCCTGGAGAGCGAAAACGACGTGTGGCTGGACCTAACCAGCGGGAACAGGTGCAAGAGGAGAATGTTCCAACGTAGGCCTCCTCCCAGGTCTCAGGTGAGCAGCGAGCTAACGGGACGACTGAAGCAGCATGTGTGGGGAGTGGCAGGACCATGGTCTGACTAACAGACATGGATGTCTGGCAGCAAGATCCGTGTTGACGGGTCGCGTGTGAGTCCTGGTGCCTCGTGTGTTGTCGGGCCTTTTCGCAGGGCGGGATTCCACCACTCACTGTGGACCATTCACACGTCGTCGAGGCCGCTTGGGAGAGGGTATCAAAAATAAGGAACAGGATGCCTTTGCCGGTGGCTTGCAGCGGCAGGAAACCATTGAAGGAACCGACAGAAGCGCAGGCCCTATCAGACGGCGAACACGGCTTGTACACGCCCGTTGGATTTGGGGGCGTGATACATCGATTCTTCGAGCCCGAGTCGATGGAGCGGGAGGTGAGCACTTGGCGACCATGTCGAAGCAGACGATGGAGGTCGAGGGCGTGTGGGTGGGCAAGGGATCGTGGAGACTGGCTGCCTTAGCTCGCGCCGACAGGGTCTAGAGGCGCTGACCGGGCTGGGCTGCCGCTTTGAGGAGAAATTTAGGGCGGAGGAAGGCGGCCCGTCAACCAGATAGGCATAGCGTGGCGGACTCATGGAAGAGAGGGACTTTGAGAGGGGAGTTGGAGAAGGTCATGGGCAATTGTCAAGTCGATCAGGTAGTTTGATGGTTTGCTTTCGATGTGGCCGGGGCAAATTGAGAGGGAAGAAGAGACATGATACTTCCACTTCCATGTTCTCAACTGCTAATTAGCATCTTCTTTTCCTGTTCTCTGACTTCTGTCATGTTGGTGACAAGGATGTCCTAACGAAGACACATGTTGTTAGCCTGACAGTCCGGCCAGACGTAAGTACACTCCGTTGCGTTGACAGCGTCCGCCCCCCTTTTTTTTCCCCGCTTATGCAAAAACATGAAAAAAAGCCAATTTTACGCTGTGACGCGCATTTCTCTGCATCGCACGCAAAACGCGTCAAA